CATAGATATGTAAAGGTTTCTACATCCTCCAAAGCTTCTCTATCAAGTACGATTTGGTTGGTGCGTGTTGTGCTATATCGGAGAGTCTTGTTTTTTTCCCTTGTGTATACTGATGCCTACTGCTGCTAGACTCGCCGTCTTCATCTGCATTTGCTGTTGTGTTGGATAAAAGAGCTAGTGCATTTGCGAAGTCCAGATCCTCCAGCTGCATCTGAGTTGTCCACAGTAATTGAAGTAAAAGTTAACTGGATTAGGTTTATTGGTGTTTGAAGTCACTAATAAGATTGAAACAAATACACTGTAGGAATACGCCGAGGATAGTATTAATTCAAAGTTAAAAAACTGATGCTTCATAAAAAACCAGAGGTAACATATGAAATGATGTTAAAAAAGAGGATTAGATTTAAATGTGTGATGTACTGATTCATTAAACATTTATTACTGAGGAAAAGAGAGAGAGAGAAATTCTAACGTTTTTTATACTGTCTAAATGAATGTCAATCTTATGAAAAGAAAAACTGGTAACATGACTTCATTCATTTGAATTTACAGTATGAAGATTTCTATATTTTGAATTAAAGTCGTAAATATTAAACAGATAAGTAATCATTATACCTGTGTGAACATGATTCATATGTACAGTAATGATAGAAATAATAATACGGCTACACATTATTGTTTATATAATCATAACACATGAACTAATAAATTGATACTTAGTTAATTTTCCAAAAAAAATTAGACTAGACTACACTGATAATGTTATGAATTGTATACAACAATTCTAAACCTCAGATCAGGATAACTGAATATGTGTTTATAAACAGTGAATATAAATTATATCAAAAAACTGATAGTTAATACATTTTTCAAAGTAAGACTAAATGATGAATTTGAAATTATGAAACTTTTCATTCGATGATTATAACTATAAATCCTATGAATGTCAGTTTTATTGAGAATTGGATATAAAAAAAACTGTAATATAAAGAACTGATCATGTTCACATTCAACTGATGCTTAAAAATCCGATCCTGTACAATATTTAAACACATGATGTACCGCTTGATTTCAGTGAAACATCTTTTGAATTGATTGTCTGATCTAAACCTAAAGTCTTAGAGATGAACTACTCATTACAAAACTGCATTTCTCAAGTATTAGACTGGATTACCTTGACACATTTATAAAAGAATTCAAGTTTCTGTATAAATCAAACCATATATTTGGTCACAGTGTGAAGCAGTATTATTTCTATAACTGAAAAAAGTTTAAATTCGATAGAGTAAGGATTCATTTTTTGGCTTTGGTTTTATTAGATGACAATCATCACATAAAGTGAATAATCGTCAATCAGTCAGTTACAACGTGGAACTTCGTACGTGCAAACATAAGTGCATGTTGCCGTACCACATTAGCACAGAAACGCAACTGTCAGTTCAAATCCCATACTAGTAGGGGTAGTAGAAGTATTAGCAGTAATCGTAAAGACTAGGGTTCGAAGATATTATTCAAAAAGTAGAACTCAGTGAAATAAATTTAAAAAGAGAAAGATAGAGGTGATGAGGAATTTAGAAGATTAGGATTTCAGAAAACACAAAAAGTGGATGCACCTGCGTCATTGCAAACAATTTTGAGCCATGTCGTTCAAGGTCTCTAACCATCGATTACTACCATCTCGCAAACCCCAACCAGGTAGTCTACATCTACCAACATGACCAAATTCACTTGTCAGTGACTTCATGGATTTGTGCCATGTTTTAGTTTGGCCCCCTATAGCATTCTTCCAACCTATTCCTACACCACAAACCATAACTCGTCGAGGTAGTCGGTGTTCGGGCATTCGTAACACGCGTCCCAACCACCTTAACTTACGAAGTTTCACTACTTCATCTATTGATCTGCCACCCTTACCTAGGATCCATTTCCTAACTATAGCATTGCTTACTTGCTTGTCCCGAGATACAAGAGCAAAGCTTCATTACTGTAACAGTTTATTTTTGTAAAGTGTGATGGCTACATGCGGTAGACTTTAAAAATGTTTCGCTAATTGAAAAAAATACTGAATACTGTGAGGAAATCAACTAGGACAACAAACAAACCATTTTTTATGTGAAAAAAAGAATGATGAAAAATCCAATATAAATCTAGTTATTATTTACAAACTATCTGAATGATAATCCCATTCGACAGTGATTTTAACAGTTTAAACATTAATCTTGTGTTAAGTTTAATTTAATATAACAACATGAATACAATTATTATTTTCATACAATTAATAGCCTGAATGAACTAAAGAATATTTATTCTAATTGACAGTTGAAACAAAAAATTGTGAATCCTTTCACATTTTAAGTTTATATTTACTAGAAGGAACGAAAATTCAGTTAGTTGTAATATTTTAAACTACATTTTAATTGACGTTTGATTCTAATATTGTTCATTTATTATATAGTTATAATGAGTGTTATCTTTTGATGATTGTAAATATTTGTATCAGACAAACTGTTTTATTTAAAACTTCTTAAAAATTGGAAAGTTCCTTACTGGGGTTGGATATTGTGACCGAGTTTTTACATGAATTATAATTTAATAGTTTATTGATGTGAAAATTAAGTAATATACTTATTAAAAGATAAACGAGAAATAAAAGATTGGGTTTCATCATTTTAAGAAAACTGTATCTGTCAGAATCACTTTTTAATGGACATGCTGCTCTTACAACCATAAGAAGCAGTGTGATGAATTCTTTTTATTCCAGAAACCTATGCTGTTTGCCTTTTACAAAAGCGCTTGTTATTTACATTTGAACAACATTTTGAAACCGAATTACGGACTCATATAACTTTCAGCACTGATCATGTACCATCATTTTTATGATACCAAAATGTCCAATTATTAAACATTTAGTCTTATCAGTTCAAGTCTTACACCCTGTGACTGAATTCACGTGACTAAAACATCAGTTAGAATACGTTTCAGTGGTAATGTAACCTTGAGTGAGTGGCTAAGTTCTTATTGGTTCACTATTCTTTCTTTGCTTTGTCCTTGATTTCAGAAATAGGCTAACCATGACCAATGAAGCCAATCAAATGGATAGGAAGATAGTGACTTACTAAGTACTATTGCTTAAGGATTGTATCAAATCACAAATTAAATGCAGTTAGTAATAGGAACTGTTAGATGTTGATTCATTAGTCATGATATCTGAAATTTTTAAGTACAATTTTACATGGAAGTTGTCAGTATGTGTTGCTAAACTATTTAAAACTAGACGAAACGGCTGTTCAGTAGTTTTTAGCTTCTAATGGTCCTCTGGCTGACACCAGTTTGTTATGAAAAACACCAAAATGATGTAACTGTGTGATTTGAATTTGCGTAAATGACTGTTGTGTTATTTCTGTAGTTTGAACTTAAAACTTTCAGAGAGATTCGTATTTTTGTCATAATTATCCACATAATATTTTTTCCAGAATTTACGATTTATTTTATCGAATTTCTAAAATTTAGCTATTACATTGAAAACAGTAATCACGAGTCTGCGGTTACTTTAACAAGGTAAGTTAGATTAAATGTAATATGGGGTCTCTAGTGGAAATTATTGCATTTCGATGATTTTCATGATGGAGCGAAATTACCCGGAGAACTACTGAAAACTAAAGAGTACTGAACGGTCATTCATTTAGGTTTTAAAGTAAACTGTTTATTATTAAACACCAAGATCTTGAAATTGATCTTATGAGTGCACAGCAATGAAGAGTCCCTAAATGAAAATTAATGTTCGTTATGATAGAACATTGAAAAGACGTAACTGATCTGAAAAATGTGATGTATTTGAGCTATACATTTCGAACAATCTGGTCATAATTTTCCTACCCCTTCTTATTCTTTTCATATTACGTTAATTTTCTCTCTCCTTTATTTACAATTATCACCCTAAGTCTATGTGAACTTTTATTTAATGGACTTTTTATTCATCTTCATATAAAATGCCTTGACAAGTAAATATATGTGACCAGATTTTTCGAAATGTATAGCGCAAATACATCACATTTTTCAGATCAATTACGTCTTCTCACTGTTCTATCAAAATTTATAAAAGGGACTAATTGTTTTAATGTTAGTTAATTAATATTTTTATTAATCAAATCGCTATTTCTGCTCACTTCGAGTTACTAAGGAAAAATACATGTATGAAAATTTGAATCAATCCTTTATGAAATGTTGAATAAAACGTATAACAAAAGATAGCCTCATTTTTCTAGGTTTATGGTCAGTCCGACTAATCTATTTATTAATTTCAACCTTTGTTCTGCACATCAAAGAGTTAACAATTCATACAAACATAATGAAGTTAAAAATTATTGAGAAAGACAAATAAATATATGTTTTGATTACAATTCAATCTGTTTTCAAAATTAACTTCTATATGGATTGATTGTGATTAACGAAAAAAGTTAGGATATTTATATAGATATCTTAAATTGGTTAATTTATTTTTAGGTCTTTATTACTACTAACTTTGATGTTACCACACAGTTGACACTAATTCAAATGAGAGTTGACTGCAGAACATATCATATTTTAGTATACTTATTGAAAGTATAAACTCTGCAGTTAAAAGAATGATGTTTCTATCAGCTAAAATACTATGCATCATTTCTAAAACACAACAGTTATTTTGGGTGAATGTGCTTTTGAGCGTCTAATTAAGCAGTATTATAAGTTAATGGTTATCTAATGATTGTAGGATGAAAAGACATACCACAGTGACTGAAATTATTAATATTTTTGAAGGCTTTAAATTTGTCCTAATATGTTTTATTGTTTTAGACAAATTAAAAAAAAAAACTGAAACAGTTTTTTCATGAGTTAACTTTGTGTCACACCCACTACTATCCATCAAATTAACACTCATAGTTTACCCATTGACAGTTTATTTCAGTTTGGTTTTTAAAAAAATAAACGCAAAATTTCCATTGAAAATCAATATTTCTCACCTTCATAATATTCAGACATGATTATAATCCTCGGTTTATGTAATTAGATACGTAAAAATTTTGATGATTGAATAAATTATTGTATTTCCTAAATAATAATATCCACTTGTACACTTGACTTGAATAAAATTTTCGAGATAACTCGATTTGTAATTTTTATTGTCAATATTTTGCTCGAATGAACTCTAACGAAATTTCAAGTCCATTGCGTGATCCCAATCGAAAATTTTTGTGAAATATCCAATCACAAAAATATTCATAATTATGATGAGCAGTATTCAGGTAGAAATAAGGCTGTATAAACTGACACCATGATTCAGCATTTGAATGGACAATACTGAAAAAAAAATTAGTAGGACAGACATGCAAATAAATTGATGCAAAGGGAGTTGAATTTATATGAGGGATTTGTTAAAACAATCGATCAAGTCTTGACAATAAGTGACCGAATTTTTCACAGACTACTAATCTGACCAATAAGACAAAGAGAGTATAGTTTCGGATTCTTTATGGCTGAAATGAACAAAGCTATGTTTTAAAAAAACCACATTTACTGGTGCATTATGAATGAAATATGGAAAAATATTTCCATTTTGGATATCAAGGGAATTAACTGTTGTTTACTTATATAGCAAAACATAGTCATTCGAGTCATCGTGTTGGGACACAGATACAGTACAAATTTCGTAATGTTACATTGTACAGTGTTGTTGTTTTAACGTTATATTGTAACTAATGGATATGATATGTATCGAACAACCTAGTGGACTGGATTTTGGAATAAGATATATATAAATATTCACTGTGTTAGTCATTCTTATCCCCTTTTTTTATTAACCTCATGATTCTGATTGATCTACGGCGTGGTTAAAATGTTCGTTTCACAATATACACATTTTAAACAAGTATATTTTTTGGGGACGCTAATTGATAGGAATTATCTGGAGAAAGTCAAAAAGCGCTAGAAATCTGCTTCTTTTCAGATTAGCACTGTACGCATAAGGCATCCACCAGTATCATATCAATAATCAATAGGTTTCTCAATAAAAAAAAACTATACCTTAAGATTACAAGTTTAGAATCTCATGGTCTAGTATTTTTGATTTCGGCTGGATAGTGATTTTTAAAGTAAGGATCATTCAGCATTTAAGTTGATAACTTACTCTTTTCACTGGTTGGACTTCAGCATTTACAATTTCACACTTGATCTTGAGAAATTTCATGTCAACTTGGTTTTCACACGATTAATAATTTAGCTAGTTGGTTTGTGAAAGTAAATGGTCAAGTGTGATAATGATTTTATCTTAAAGTGAAATCACGTGTTTCATTATATTGATCAAGTGTTTAAACAAGAATGAGTATACTTCTTTTCCATCACAAAAGATGGCTTATATATTAAATCATGATGATATTAAGGATATTCTAATGTGTAGAATTCATTCATTGCTTTAGGTGTCGAAACAAGTGTTTTTTGGTCTTTTTATATTCTTTCTATAAATATCTTGAACGATGTACCGCATTATTAGAAGATAAATCGAATACATTCTATACTACTGAATAAAAGACTTAATGAAAATTATTCACAGTTCATCATGCAAAAAAGTAGCTGTATGTAGAAATTCATATTATCGAAGAAAAAACCCCATGATAAACCTATGATTTCAGAATTGTCAATAGTTTATCAAAGCAACTGCATACTATTCAATTCGTCTGAGTAGCTTGACTAGACTTTAAAAATTTAAAAACGGTCAACGTAAATAAATAAAAATGTTTCAAAGTATTGTTAATTAATTAGGATGCTGCCGTTGTCACGTGAGATGAAGCAGGAATATTCCCACTGATAAATATTGATAAATATGGACAAGAGTTCAAATTCCAATTAATATGTATTTTGAAAATAAGGGTAGCAAATTAGCAAGGTTTTTCCATTTGTACATTTGTGTAGTTAGGTAATATCATCCACATATGTATAGTGAAGGTAATATTGACTAGAAGTTGATCATCACTGAGAATCTATAAAAAATCAAAGAGACTTGTAAAGCTGTGTTGAAGTAGTTCACTGTTCTTCATCAGCAGTCATTCACAACTTTTGAATTAAAAATGAACTAATATAACACCATACTGGTTTAGATTGTCAACTTTTGTCAATTTCTAAAATATATATGTTGGGCAAAAATAAAATAATGAATCGACTGTATTTTTATTTCGATTAAACCATAAACTTTTTTTGAATTTGCAAAACTGTATATAATAGATTCACTCATCAGGGCAACAGAAAGCGTTCTTCTCATTTTTTTTCAGTTAGTTAATTCTTTACAAAAGAAAATACCGTAATAATCCTTCTTGTTATATTGAAATTCTGTTTGATTGTTTAAAAATATCAATCTTATAAGGGAAATGCTAAGATTAATGAAAACAAAGTGATAGTATCCTCCTTCATTGTTACAGTTTTAGTTATTTTGTTATTCAGTAGTAAATCAACATAACATCAGATGTTATTCTGCATGATAACATAATATAAATTACAGCTGTTCGCTTTGTGCAAAAATTTCAAAATAATGATCAATAACTAAATCAATAAAACAATAAAATGCAATGATTTTTTTCTTCGAGAATCAAGAAAGAATATTTGCAGTTAGAGTTTTGGAGATTTGTGTTTTTACACATGTGAAATCATCAATCAATCATTGTTAGACCACCATTAGAAACCTAGAAGCACTGGACGGCCGTTTCGTCTTGGTATGGGACTCATCAGTGGCAGTGCGCATCCACGACTCCTGCACCTCGTAGGACGAAACGACAGTCCAGTGCTTCCAGGTTTCTAATGGTGTTCTAACAATGATTGATTGATGATTTCAAATGTGTAAGAAAGAATAGGCAATTTATGTATTTTTATACTTGACCTTCAGTATCTGTTAGAACTTGAAGTGTTTTGCTAACTTACGCAAGGAGTGTAATCATATGAAAAAACTGGATTACTATATGCTAGTCAAATAATAAACTTTCCTTACCTGTTTATCATAACAGTATTTCTCATTTTTGTTGTTAAACTAACTTTAAAAGTGAAGTTACTAATTCATAACTGTTAGGAGAACTGAGCTCAGCTAGACAAACAGTCATCACTGAAGATCGCTCGATAGTTGTTACATTCTCATGCCTTTTCCTAGAATTGTCTGTCATTTTTAACTATTCATTCCTCCTCCTGGTCGACACTTGGTCATTTAGGCATCATAATGAGAATGGCACCTTTTGAATACCTGTAGCTCTTGTTTCAAATAAATATGTAATAGTGCTTTGGTTATCATCTATGATCATCAATGATATCCTTCTGACTGTCGACAGACTTAAACTGTATCGACTATATTCACGTTTACACTTAGTTTCGCATTTAGAAAGTAGTCAATAACTCAGTAGTTTTTGAAAATTGTCATATTTCATGTTGACTAGTGCTCGTGATATGATATCTAGATTTTGTTCATCAAGTACTGATAAAAATTAACACTAGTAAACATTATTTACAAGAACATTTGTGAGTAGGCAGTATTTTTTGAATTTTTCATACATCCTTACTTACTTACCTACTCATGCTCTATCAGAGTAGAGCAGATAAGCCGCTGACCAGCATTCTCCAACCAAATCTATCCTGGACCTTACTTCCCAGTTCATTCTTCCTGATCTCGGCCCAATGTCTTCCTTGCTTTGTGTCTTTTCCTATGGTCTTGGGTTCTGCGGTTAGGGTTTTCCTTTATTCATAAACTACTAAATATATTTCATGTAAATTATCACAGAATGATCAAAGAATTCTCCAGCAAGCAGAAAACAACGACTTATCTGTTTTTTCTTACATACATTTTATTCTCTGAGATCATTGATGGAAAGTTAACAAAACAAAGTACTTAGTAAAATAAGAAAACTTCATTGACCTAGTTTTAGTACATTTAGAGTGCTGAATAATGATTTTCGTTTGTATTTCAGATTGATGAATTCTATCTTCGTCAATGTTGAATTATTGTTGAAGAGCTAATATTTTATGGACTAATGAACTGATCTTATCTGATGAAAATGGAAAAAAAGACTGAAAAGGTACTGTAGTTTTTAAGACAATGATTATGATTTATTATAGTTTGACGGTAATCTTTACCACTGAATCACCAAAAGTTAGGACGATTCGAATTTCAACTTGGATTAGACACCAATATAATCCCAATTCGGAATACATTGGATTGTACACCTAATGATCTTATTCTTGATGGGATAAAAGAAATTAAGGATTTGCCATTAACAAAATATATTCAAACGATAGGATCAGGGTTAATCAGTGCATGTTTTTTTAACTCCGTTAATATGTATCAGTATCGGTGAATATGGTTCGTGATTATCTTTCACCACGCTACACATGGTTGAAGCCATTGATTACAGAGTTTTATTAGAATTACAGCAAATAAATGAAAACTAGTCACACAGAATTCAAGGATACACAATGGCTTAGAGTTTATAACAGATTCAAAACAGACGCAGCTTCCTAGTTTCAATAATTTTCCGATTGATGTCAGTTCACAACGAAAAATGTCTGTTGGTTGAATTATTGTTAACAAATTTCTGAAATTTAACCATAAAACGCATTTCTGACTTGAATATGAGAAACACTACATACTACAAGCTTGGCTATGAAGAATATAATTTAATTCTTTTACAATGATACATGATTGAACTTCACAATAAGTGTTTAGTAACTCAAGGTTACTCATCAATATTGTCTTGAAGCACAATAACACAAGTCGAATTTTCTCTGCTCATTGTCTCTATTTACATAATACATCTGTTTTGTAGTTATTAATTTGACAACACAGTTTATTTTTTGTTGTTTAGGAACAAACAACAATTTAGCTAAAGTGGAAAAGAGGTATTTCTAAATGTTAATTTTAGTTGCTTTTAATACTGATTTATTTGTTAAAGAAATCCATAAATTTGAAACAAATTGTAATTAATTTTTTGATTTAGATTAAACTAGATTACACCACTTAACAAGCATCTATCTTCATTAACGTATATCATTATATCATTAATTTATAAATAAATTTATTGAACGAGTACCGGGTATTGTAAATTCAGAGTTGAAATCACATTTAAACATTGCTAACGGGAAGTTCAACGTTCAATGTCTGGTACAATAAAATGACTGTTTACTATTTAAATCAATGATTTTTATTTAGTTTATTCAATGATTAAGAATATAAATAATTTAGATAATACCTTAGATTAAAGTATGATTGATAATCACAATATATGAGAGTAAAATTTTTGCGAAACTTGACATTTTTATTTTAAAAATATATATATGGTGCCTAGAAAACAAATGTACTTCAATCCTTATAAATAGGTTATCCTTTATTCAGCGAATAAACGTGATGTGACGTTAAAAAACAAACATTATAAAGCAGTAAAAATAATCTTACAAATCAATCTAAATATTCTTGAATATTGAACACAAATGATAAACTTCCTATCGTAACAAGATGGCAAAAATTATTTTACCCATAAATATTTAATGAGGAAAAATTTCTTATTTGAAATTTCATCAATAATGTAAGTGAAATAATCTGTTTTAGATTTGCATTTTTTTTCCAGATAGTATCGTTTTAGCAATTATGGACTAATTGACTTGTTGCAACGGATTTATTTTGACATGAATGTACTGTCGATATAATTGTACAATGAACTTGATTTAAACAATTGAATTTAATGAAGCTGTGGTAATTTTGCATGTTAGTAGAATTGATTGTTATCAATGTACGGTCACTGATCAATGATTTAATATTTGAGTGTACTGATAAAATGAAGTTCAGATAAAACTAAGATTTATAAAAATCTTGATTTTTTCAATGGTTTATGAAATGTAATCAAATGAACGGATTTAGATTATGTAAACTTTGATGATGATAAATCGCTATAGATTAAGATACTGAACAAAAAATAATTTTCCTTATATAGTTCACTGAGAGCCCTGTTTGTATAAAGTTATATACAAATAAGATTACGGATGGAAAATTTTTTTAATTTATTCAATAATCATCATTCAAATTTTGTATTATCTATACAAAATCATCATAGTGATTTAGTAACAAGGGAGATGAAAAGATTAATTACTCAACTAATCATGTAAGTAGTATAAGGATGAAGGCTGAGAATGCAAACATAATTTCCAAGAGTTCGATCGGATAAATAGATGAATAGTTTTAGAAAGAAACTATTGACCTGTTTTA